GACGGCTTCCAGCGGCTGTTTTCTCGGTTTATCCTCGAGAAGGGACCCCAGATGGTGTGGGACAACATCCTGCCCATCACCGACGGCACCATTCGATCGTACGACAGTCTGACGGAGCCGTCAGCGGACCAGATCAAAGACCAGCTCAATAAACTGGTGGTGGTAAAGCTGAACGGTGGCCTGGGCACGTCCATGGGATGTCAGGGACCCAAGTCGCTGATCGCGGTGCGGAACGATTTAACGTTCCTCGACCTGACCATTCAGCAGATTGAGGTGAGCAGGGGTGAGGGATAAGTGAGGTGAGGGTGAAGTGAGGGGGTTGGGTATTTGCGAAGTGAATGGGGTCTGGATAAGTGAGCTGAGGCCGGGACTGGTTGCTACCACCCGTCTCCAGACAGGCTTTTATACGGAATCACTGGGCTGTCTACTCTCTGGAAACTGCTCTTGTGACAGTCTAGCTTCAGCACTGCCTGCTCTTTGAGATTGACCCTTGAGTCTTGACCCGTGTGATAAGCCCGAGCACTGACCTGTTCTCTCCCGTTTCGCTATCGGACAGCACCTGAACAACACCTACAACTGCAAGGTGCCCCTGGTGTTGATGAACTCCTTCAACACGGACGAGGACACGCAGAAGGTGCTGCGGAAGTACACCGGCTTCAACGTGAAGATATACACGTTCAACCAGAGCCAGTACCCGCGGATCAACCGGGAGACGCTCACACCCGTGGCCAAGACCATGAACACCAACGACGATCCGGAGGCGTGAGTTGGGCGGGCGGGTCAGAGGGAGGTGGAGTGGGCGTGGGTGGGAGGGTGTTGCAGCTGGACGTGTCAGTGTGTCAGTGTCGATGAGGGTGTCATAGTCGGTGTCGCATGTCAGTATTAGTAACGATGATGATGGGGGAGTTTCAATATTGGTGTGTCGTCTGTCAGTGTTTGCGTTGTCAGTGTCTGCCAGTGTCTATGTCATCTATTTGTGCCTGCGTGTCAGTCTCGGTGTATCAGTGTCAATGTCAGTGACGATGTGTCAGTGCAAGTGGCAGATATTTCATCAGCAGTGCGGACTGCGGGTATAGTCGAAGGACCTGCTAGTAGTCGACCCTTCCGCAATCCGCTGAGCCTGGTTTACCCTGACCACGCTCTTTCTCTCCTCCCCTCAGGTGGTACCCGCCCGGTCACGGCGACTTTTACCAGTCGTTCCAGAACTCCGGCCTGCTCAAACAGTTCATCGACGAGGGACGAGAGTATGTCTTCATATCCAACATAGGTACGACTCGCTCCGGACTGATGGCTTAACACATTAGCTTTAAACTCCACAAAGCTATGAATTTCCTCCATGTGGGTTCTGTGAAAGTCCTCTCTCGGCCTGTTCGTCTTCTGCCAAGCATATAGATGTACCAGGGCATGGGAATGATTGTGGATAATGGATATAAACATGATAAGCTATACATAGGAAGTTGTGTGAGAGAGTCGCATAAGAAGCCGTTACACGCATGAGAGTTGCGTTGTCGCGATTGTCGCAGCACACAGTCCCAGCAGCTGATCAATGTCCATGCAGACGTGAGCCGCCCCGTCACTCTCCGCCCGACCGGTCACTGACGAACTCCGTGTGCGTGTATCGCTCACAGATAATCTGGGCGCCACCGTGGACCGGTCGATCCTCAACTCCCTGCTGAACCCGCCCTCCGGGGAGCTGCACTGTGAGTTCCTCATGGAGGTTACCGACAAGACGCGGGCCGATATCAAGGTACGGATGCTCTTCCCATTACCTTTCTCTCCGTCAGCAGTAATGCTTGGCTCGTGGAAGTCGCATGGTCGTTTGTGACTTCGTTATGGTGATTCTAAAAATATATCAAGCGTTTGCTGCGCCGATTTCGATAAGAAATTGACTGTATATTTTCATCAGAGATTTAGCACACATGAAAACTGATGAGTGTGCAACTATGTGTTGTGCGATTATGTGTTTATCAGTGATAGTTTGTACCCAAGGCTGCCCCGTAACCGTCTTTCTTTCTCCGCTTGTATGACATCTAGATAAGTCATGCCATCTTTTCCTAACTAACATCTTTTCTCCCGTCCCCAGGGAGGAACGCTCTGCGAGTACATGAAGAAGGTACGACTGCTCGAGATCGCACAGGTCCCCAAGGAACATGTCGATGAGTTCAAGTCGGTCAAAAAGTTCCGGATATTCAACACCAACAATTTGTGGATTAACCTCAAAGGTAAACCCTGGTTCGTTGCGGTTTACTCCACTGATTCCGTTCTTATTTTTGCGGAAAGGTTATCGGTCATGTTTGCGCTCAGTCATAAGAGTAAGCGGTCGTCTTATTGATAAGGTATCCCAAGTGAGAGACTTTCAACACACCCACTTTTACAAGTGGTATAAATCCGGCTATAATCAAAGAAGCTTCGTCACGAGGATGTACTTTATCTACGATAAAAATAAACCGCCGAATCATGCAAAGATAAGATCAATCAGTAAGAATATTGCTGCAACATCATACGGAGAATTGCCTGATATCACAAAGGAGCGTCTACTCTCTTGCCTTTCCGACGGCTGAATCACCGATACGTCAACCACGCTTCGCCCCGGATAGAAGACACCTGTGCCCTGATAGTAACGTAACACGAGTGCCTCTGGGCCAGGCTGCGGCTCCGAATCCAGTATGATCGACACGTGGGCCCGCGGGGGTCACGGCTTTAGCCTTTTAATGTCTGGGCCACGGCCGGGCTCGGTGTCGGCGGCTCGGCTTTCTTTGAAATGTCAGACCAAAGAGTGTCATGGCCGATTACAAGCAGGACACAGTGCTGTCTAAATTTGTACATACGCTAGGATACTTATAATACTTATTTCAAGACGTACTTTCATTAACTCAAGCTTCATTCTTAGACTTATTTCTAGTACCTCAAGCTTCATTCTTATCAACAATGTTTCTCAATCCCTCACTGCCCGTAAAAGGCTGAGTGCCGATGTGAGTAGCGCTCCTGGCTATCCTGACGTCTAACCTGCCGTCCCCCTCCGGCAGCGATGAAGCGGGTGTTGGAGCAGGAGCTGCTGACCATGGAGATCATCGTCAACCCCAAGACGCTGCCGAACGGCACCAACGTCATTCAGCTGGAGACGGCCGTCGGTGCCGCCATGAAATGCTTCAACGGGGCCACAGGTAGGGGGACGGGAGGGTGTCGCAAGTGAACGCGCGAGGGAGCGCTACGAGCAAGGAGACGAAAGGGAGTCAAAGGGTTACATGAGGAGGATTGTTCTTGCGTGTGGTGGGTATTATGGAAGATGCGGTTGACTTAGCTTTGGTTTAGGTATAGGGTAGGGATTATGCTACAATAGGAAGCTAACGGAATCGCATTCTGGGTCGGCGTATGCACATTGGTGACGGGATGGGTCTTGTGTCGCTTTGACGGTGCGTTACGTTTTTCCCGCCCGGCCTCATATTTACACCCCGTTCGTCCTGCAGGCATCAACGTGCCCCGGCGGCGCTTCCTGCCGGTGAAGAAGACGGACGACCTGCTGCTGGTCATGTCGAACCTCTACACGCTGCAGGAGGGCACCTTGGTCATGTCGCCGCTGAGACAATTCACCACCACGCCGCTCGTCAAACTCGGGCCTAACCACTTCGCCAAGGTCAGGGAGCGGACAGGGATGGGGGACGTGGGCTGATTATTTCTGTTGTGGGATGCTAGGAATAAGCGATGTTCGTAACCGTGGTAGTGTGTGATGTATGTCTTTTAGTATCATGTCATAACTTTGTCACTGTCACTGTCATCACTGTCATCATATAAGCATCATGTGGTGTGTCTTAACACTGCAACTGTCATAATCATGTACCTATCATTGCATGCTTCTGGCCAATGACGTAACAACTATAACACTAATGTCGCGTGTGCTGTGAGCAATGACTGTGTGTAAACTGTCTTGCGTCGCTGTTACACGCGTCGTTCTGTGCTCCTGTTTATCAGGTGGCCGAGTTTCTGAAGCGGTTCGCCTCGATCCCTGACATCATGGAGCTGGATCACCTGACAGTATCCGGAGACGTCACCTTCGGACGGGGAATCGCTCTGCGGGTCAGTACTCCGTCGGTTATACAATGAATCCTCAGCTTGTTGGGTGCACACAGCTTCCTGGTCAACTGAGTAACCGAAATCATGGGTTTGAAAACGGAAAGATAGGCTAGTTTTGTTTCCACTCTATAGTTGTTAGTAAAGCTGAGATGATGGCATTGTATTCATATTCATTGCATGAACTACTTAGTCGTGTAATATGCTGTATTCTTAGCTCATTCTGTTAGCACTGAATTTGGCCAACACAACGAGATCGGCATGAGTATAGGAATTATTTTGGCTGACAGTTGCCTACCGGACTTGGGTGGGTAGGTGTTGGTTGGGACCGTTGCTGCCGGCTACTCGTTGCTGCTCTCTGACCGCCGTTTGCCCTTCCCCTTCTCGCAGGGCGCGGTGATTATCGTGGCCAACCACGGGGACCGGATCGACATCCCGGACGGCGCGCGGCTCGAGAACAAAGTCATCTCGGGCAACCTGCGCATCCTCGACCACTAGCCGCCCCCGCTTCCTCCCCCGCCGGCCGTCCGCTAACCGGCCACCGCCCCTCCCCCACGTGCAATGTAGGCGCCCGCCGCGCCCTGCCCGAACCTCAGCCGTCGGTTCGTCGGTTCAGATGGAATCTATAGGCCAGTCCCGCTCAGAAGGGTGACCTGGGACTATGTGCGCGCACACAGGCGCGGGACTGCCCCGGGTTTTAGACTAGGGATGATGCCATCCCGCCACGCTATATTGTGTACATAACAGTGTGTTTAACAAGAGTGTGTAGCAGGCTCGTATGCAGGGTGAATGAATATACGCGCTCTCTAATGGTACGCAGTGGAGTGGATTTTGTGGATCGGGTGGCGGCGGATGAGTGTCAGAATATAATCAGTGGATAGTCATGGATAAGGGGATTTAGTCTGCAAATGTATCCGTACGAAATTTACATGTTCATATACACGCATACATTTATTGGACGCTTTGCTCACGACATACCACCTATGATGCGAACTCAAACAGTACCAGTTAGTGAATGTAGATGGACATCAGCTTCCACAAAGCATATTCTTCACAAGGCTCCCCTAAACACGTCGGTGACAATTCGTATCTTTTGGCGGCGCTTAAAAAAAAAGCGAAACCAGGCATGGCTCACAATGCTCATTCACCCTTTTCACACACGAAACCTGACTGAAGACACCGGCACTTTTCTCACTCCGTCTCCCTCAGTCTCTGGATGGGGTTTTATCTCTCGTCATTCACAGTCCTCGCTCTCTCAGCCAGTCCTTGACCTGCTGCACGTACTCCCCCTTGAACTGGACGTAGAGGGAGACCTCGTTGACACGCGAGGCGATGTAGCGGCTGTTGGCCTCCTCCAGGTGTCGCTTCAGCTCGTCGTGCAACTTCTGAGGAGGGAAAGCACCTTATTAAAACACCAAACAACTTCTGAAGAGACGAGAGTTGGGGAAGGGAGGTCATTAGGTCATCTGGCCAGAGGAAGGATCGCATATCTCCACCACAACACTTCGTTTGAGTTTGGGTCATCAATACATCACGACCAGCACAACCCTACCATAAATAGATACCCTCTGGCGTAGCTGTCATCTCTCGCACGTACAGTCCACCGCAGAAGTAATAAGCGGTATCAGTCGTGGTTATGCTTTGTATCTGTCTCTTAGGAACAATTTGCCCGACTACAATGAAACTTGGAATGAAGCTTACATGTTTCGTCATCCTTTCAGCTGCAAGTTTATCTTATGCTGTCTACTCCTGGATCACTCCGTATTTAGAAATCGTCAGTCGAAGCCATCTGTTGAAATTGATAAAACCGCACATTACTTTAGAGGTGGGCTGTACCTACCAGAATGCCTCCTGCAGTAACACTTCCGTACCGTTTCATATCTCCCTTCGTACCCTTTCATTTTCCCGGAACCCTGATGTCTCTCTTCAAGGCAGTTATCTTCCCTCCCACGGCCCACCGTTCCCAGATCTTTCCCTCCGTTCCGAGATGGCTGCCTCCGTATCCAAATAGCTCGATGCACCCAGACCTCCCTTCGTGCCCAGACATCTTTCTATTCACCCAGATACATTTCACTCCGTGCCCAGAATATATCTCCCTATGCACCCAGATACATTTCCCTCTGTACTCAGAATAAAGGTATCTTTTTACGCGTCCAGATACATTTCCCTTCGTACCCAGATATCTCCACGGACGTTGCGCACCACAGTGAGCCGTTTGACGCCATCCTCCATGATGCGCAGGTAGACTGGCAACATGTGGTTCACTGATCGGCGGACCGAGTATGGAAGTGACGGGTTACCTGTCGGTGGGGGGAGGGGGTGGGGTCAGCTCGTTAGTAGGGAGATCGGCGGCCACGACCTAAGACCGGGTGGCTGAGACGGCATGTCGGGCATGTGGCGATGGAAAGGTAGGCTGGGGACGGGTAAGAGCTAGTGAAGAGTGTTAGCGGTGCCAGTTTAAGAGTACAGCGGCGGGAAGCAGGTGTGCGGCAAAAAATACGGAAACAAACAATAATGGGAGTGGCGTGTTTGTGACGTGAGCCGTGAAAGAAAGGCGATGTGCCAGCCCAATCGGTACATACTACACATTTTAACGAATAAAACGAGCCCAACGCAACGTAAGCAGCGTAACTGCTTACGTCGCTGCAAAGACTAGAGCTGATAAGCTACGTACACTACATGGCACACGACATTCCTAAGCTGAACTGAGTTCTGGGCGGTTGTTTTCCGTTCCATTCCTTGTGACCGGTGACCTCTGCCGGTCGGCGGCCGTGACCTCACCTCGCTGAGGTGTCCAGCCGGACGGGTAGGCCGCTTTGTCGGTGGGCGTGGGAACCGTTCGGCGCGGCAGCAGCCGCTCTACGTGGCTCCAGTCAACATCCACCGGCTCCACAGCTGGCAGCGCCTCTGCCGGAGGCGGTGGCTCGTGGCGGACGTGCAGCAGCCGCCGCGCCTAGCCGGCAGATACACAGACATATTAGGCATAGGAGAGCAGACACATAGGACAGGTGTAGCCTGTAATGTAGGCTGGAGGCAGCTTGAGCTATGTGAGCTGCAAGATGAATAGATTTGAAGTTAAAAATAATTCACAAAGCATGTATGTAATGTACTATGTGATACTATGACTTGCTAAGCATTGTAATTATTAGAAAATGTGAAAGGCAGGAATGCAAAAAAGTATCAACATGCAAAATGTGCCTTTATTGAGATTAATACTTTTGCTCTGATCATTTGTATGAAAATAATTAAAATGCAGCTTACCAAGCATAGTCGATGACTGGCAGGAGCATTTACCAGTCTCCTGACTGTGTGCGTTAAAAACATGACAAATGCTTAGGAGCAAATCTGAAAGAAAATCAATTTATAGTGAAGAAAATGTCATTTAACTCTTATTGACCTTGAAAAACCTTTCCAATTTCTCTTCTTATAGCTCAATATATATTCCATCAACTGTACTATGAGTCAAACATATTATCCAAGATAACAAACACAAGTCCCTGTCACACATCTACCCAATCCTGCTGAATTCTGGCTGAAATTGAATTACCCGAGGAGGAGCCCGAGGAGCAAGCAAGGCGCCGAACCTTGAAGGAGCTGTGCAGATGTGGATGGAGAATGCTATGAATATTGTGTTCTTTCTTACCAGTTTGCGGGAAAATGAACCCATGCACTCGCCAATGATTCGCCTTCAGTCATCATTTGACCTCTGTACTTTCATAAGCGTAAGTCAACGAACAGAGATACTTTGTCCTATTTGCGTGATATTTGTCTAAAATGTTGGTGTCACTGGCTGGGTTTAGCTAAGGATATCAAGAAGTAAAATAACTTTTGTGTAGCATAGATTCAAACGGTTTTACAGACTTTATATTTAAATTTGATGGAACTAAATTGATTGAAGTCATCTTTTTCAATAGAAACAAATTATTTGGTGAGAATTGCAAACAAATACTTGTAAAATCTCATAAAAACATGTTATTTAGCGCTCCTAGCGGCAGGAAATAGTAACTCTGATTGCTCTTATCATCGGCTAATCGTGATTTGTTTGTCACCTCGTCTGCGCGGTTATCGGCAGGCATTTATTGGCTTTTTATCGGAGTGGGGAAAAGTCCGCGGACTTGGGACCAGCGGATTCTGTCTGCTGTCACTGCTGGAGAATAAGTACCAACAGCCTTTCGTTTTTTGTTTCGTTTTCGCTAAGCATCTTTTTTAACGCATACAGTTTGATTGTTATGTTTGATGGTGGTTTGTGAAACAAGTTGAAGCAGCGACGATGCCTGACCAGGACCACGTGAGTAATTTGAATTAAAGATAATTTTGTTTCATTTCCACTTGAGCTTTGCATATTGATGAAAATGATCCATTGATGATTGTATAGTTTATATTTCAGTTGGGCAAACTAGACCTTTGGAATCAAAATATGGAGGCATCAAAAGATTGATTCCTTATGACCATATTTGGGCATAAATGCAGACCATTTCTAACTTACCAATCACATAAAAATAAGAGAGTGTTTCAAGAAGGAGCATGCCTGATCTTGAACAGAAATGCTGGAACTATCTCCTAAGCAAAATAATATTGCTCCTATCATAACAATTTGAATTCTATAGGTAGTGAAAGGCAATCAAGGAATTGATTCACTTTAAACAGATAATCATAATATTGATTCCCCATCAGCTGGCTAATCATTATTTTGATTCACAGGTAATGTTAACAGATAGGCAACAATAACTTGCAGGAATACATCATTTATCTTTCTATTATTCTCATTTAGTGGTATCCTCAGCACCACAACAGATACCTATAGCATTGTTGTACTTTACCTTCACTACATTTGATAACAATTCACAATTTTTAAATGTCAAGAATACAAAAACTGAAGCAGCAGGTAAAAACCATATAATAAATATAAAAGCACTACAACAATGATAATTAGGGGTTTGAAAATTTCATTTTGCCATTTTACACAAATACTGATTGTTTAGTATGCCATTCATGATACAAAAATAACATACAGTGTGATTTCCTCAAAACAGCTTTTACGTGATGGACAGTGGCTCTGTCTTTTTCCCATTCACAAGGTCAAAGGGACAATTTCTTAGTTTTGAGGTAACACTTTTTGCAAACCTACCACATTTTTCTACCTTTTTAAATAAAAATCTCACCGTCATGGGCCTTTTTTCAACCGTAACGATACATTTGAAGTCAAAAGTGTACCAAAATGAATCAAAAAATTGATTCCATGCCCATATTTGGTCATGGCTCCTCCCACCAGAATCAAATTATTGATGCCTCCATATTTTGATTCCAAAAGTCTAGTTTGCCCAACTGATTTGTGGTAAATGGTAATGTCATTTGTTTTGAAGCTTTGTTTTTGGCAGTGGCTCGTTCGTCTGTTCTACGCAATGCTTGTGCTATGACAACCAGAGTACACTGATAGTTTACACTGCACAGTGGCTCATAGTGAACATAGGACATGCACTGTGCACTAGTTATGATTGAGGCGACCTCTGCAAAGCATGGCAATGAGTCTATGAGTTGCATCAGCCAGGGTGACAAGTCTGCACCAGCTACACCAACCAAGCTGGAAAGCTTCATGAGCATGTACCAAACAAGTCCATATATTCTGCTTGAAATTGGTTTCTGATGATAGAAACTGCATTTAAAACAGCAATTACTCCCTTTCCGGCTCTCTGTGTTTCAAGTACCTAATTAGGTAGCTCTAAAGGCTGAGCTACACTACGCGTGACCGTCCAGGAAATTACGTGCGTGATCTGCAGATCTGTGATTGCGAGACTCCCTTGACATCGGTTTCTGCGTTTTTCCAGAATTTCCGTGAATTATTTTATGCTGACGTAATAATAACAACTAATAAATGTTTTCGCAACAAACGCTTACCTAAGTTTGCTACCTTCTATACTATTTCATCAATAATAAATTCATTAGGTAAATAAAACATCAAAAACACATGAAAATTAAAGAAACAATTATCATTTACGTCACTTGGAGGATTCATACGGTGCGCCACCAAGTGCGCCAACAGCTGTCTCATATCACGCAATCACGCAGATTCTGCAAAAAAGTTCGTAGCTCTGAACTTAATATCGGTACGGAACATCCTGACCGTCCTGACTATCCGGCATTTCCTGTACTGAACGTCCGGCATTTCCTTGACTGAATCTGCGTGACCCCAGTGTAGCCGACCCTGTGTATTTCCTATCAGCTGAACTTGACCTGCGTACCAATTTTCTGCAAAACCCGCAAACTCGCAGATCACGGACGTAGGATCCCGCATAGTGTAGCTAGACCTTGACACTAAAATATAATGACAATGATCATGCTGGAGCAGTAGTTCAGCACAAGTGTCTTGTCACAGCCCTCGCAAAATCTGCACCACTGACCATGGCTGTGGAGTCGGAGGTCTGTCGGAGTCGACGGTTCTGCCCGGAGTCGGAGTTAACTCCGCATGGCTCACTATCCGTCATGCCCTGCACCTGTTTGCTTGATACTATGCTCGTTGACCTTTCGAAATTCAAATTTTGTTGTAGAAAGGCCATAGGTAGGTATTCCTGTTTTGGACGAGCGTTTTCAGCGAAAGCAGAAGGCGGCGGATTCTTTAGGACCTGCTTTGAATTCTGCATGCTGTTTATAAAGCATATTTGCGATTCAAGGCCCTGGAAGGCACAAAGGATCTTTTCCAGCAAAATAAAAACATCTCCATTATGAACTCTATTATCATGATACGGACTGTAAGGAAAACGTCCGTAGTCAGAGTCCGACTCCGACTCAGAGAGTCGGAGTCGGAGACGGAATCGATTTTGAAGCCGGAGTCAGAGTCGGAGTCACCCGAAAATCCATCGACTCCGCAGCACTGCCACGTCTGGTAATCCATGGTAAATCCGTAAAAAAGCACTGTAAATTCCGGAAAACTGTGCGACATCTCTAAGTCCGCAGCAAATTGCGCATAGGCAGATTGCCGGTGCGCCTCCGAGATCTCGTCAACGCTACCATGTTATGCAGTCTGGTCATTGGTCGGATGATAGGGGTGGGACGTGCATAAGAAGCTCCGCTTAGTGTGGGCTTCAACTCAATTCATCCATCCAAACATCTGGTCTAAATTTATTACTTATTTGGCCCTGACTGGGCTACGGCGGAACAAGCGCACAGTGGCAGTGCGGAGTAGGCACCAGGCTCTCTTATCGTCTTATCACTGGTGGACTAGCGCTTTTTATCGGTACGGCCGGCATTTGAGTAATCGGAAGGGGGGGGGGGGGCATGTCGGTAACAGCGTCCTCTGATGCCTGGGTAGAAGCCTGAGAAAGGATCAGTGGCCTGATCTAACCTAAACCAACCTAATCGAAGCTCACGTGCAACACCACTTGCACTTCTATTGCTTTTGGTACTCAAACTTTCCGATTTTCATTTATCTTCATGAAGACGACTTTGCAACATGCTCTCCGAAGTCCGATGAGTGTCCGGTCGCCGTATGTGGGCTAAAGATCACATGATCGTATGCCCTCAGAATGAAAAAGTACAATCGAATGAACCTTAGCATCTACCACAAACATGTGGCTCAAGCTTCGTTGTTTGATTTCGACAAACTTTCGTCAGCATGTATTTTGGAGCCATGAACCAAGGAACCAGAATTACAACCCTCAAAGGCGCTTGGCTCTACATGGCTCTACCATGTCTTTAGGCATCTAATCTGGATTTTTTTTTGTCATCAAACCCGTTAAAAATGCTTTTGATAGATTCCCTGTTCCTTTCACAGACATCTACAAAGTCAGACGAAGATAGAAAAGCGGAGGCAGAGGCATTTAAAACTCAAGCAAATGAACGTTTTACTGGTAAGTCGGGGCACACGAACATGCTTACTTTGGCTTAGCTCATGGAAGAGACAAAACTTCAGTGTTTTGTCACGTAAGTAATGATAGTGTTCCACTTTTCAGAGCAACACTTTATTTTACTTCACCATGTGCTTGTTTTTCAAATCGCAGCAGATTCATTTTATCATGGCTAACAGGGGAGAAACTGTCCTTTCAAGCCTCGGCAGTTGTCCCAGGATTCCCTTGCATTGCCTGACCTGACCGAAAGCAATTGACCTGGTAATCCCCGTCATCGTCCTGACCTGCGTTCTCCACCGGCAGCGGAGTGCTATGAAGAGGCGATCGACTTGTACACGAAGGCGATCGAGCTGTGTCCGAACAGCCACGTGTACCACGCCAACCGAAGCGCCGCACACCTCCGACTGGAGAACTTTGGCTACGCGCTGACGGACGCGTCGCGAGCCATCGAGCTCGATAAGACCTACGTCAAAGGCTACTACCGGCGTGCCGCCTCCTACATGGGCATGGGAAAGTGGAAACAGGCCGAACGGGACTTTGAGAGCGTGAGTAGAATACAGATCGTCGGCGGTGGCTGTGGCGTTGGCCGTGAATGATCCGTAGAAGGAGGGCCATGCGGAGTGCATAATACAGGCATGCTTTAGACCTACTGTACTTACACCACAAACACTGGGTTAAAATAGCATGAATAGTCTCAGAAAGGTAACTCAAACGTCAGTTTTACCCGTGCTTTTTATCACACCCGTTAAATTATAATCAGTCCAATGTGTGTAACGCAGAGCCACGATGTGCAGGCGCAGGCTGTGAGTAACAAATGACCAGACTCCACACACTGTGCGCTCCCTATCATGAGACGGCCGTCGCGTGTCCACCCACTCACCGCCCTCACGGATCTTCCCCAGGTGGTGAAGGCACGACCACGGGACAAGGACGCGCGAGAAAAGTACAACAAGTGCCGGACCATCGTGAACCGACTGCGGTTCGAACGCGCCATCGCGGTAGACGATGAGCCCCAGAAGACGGTCGCCGAACTGATAAACATCGAGTCGATGAGTGAGTGGGCATCTCCCTGTGGTGTGGGGTGTATAGTGTCATGGCTTGGTGAAAATGTGACTGAAACTATCCCTTAGATTTCAGGAAGGAGAGTAGGCCATCAATTCATTCAACTTGTCCTTGTGGCCGCCTCCATATTCTGCCTTGGACCGGCGGCCTAGATCCCTCCGTTGACGCCAGCTGCCGCTTTTCACCGCTGGGACGGCGGGTTCAGTCCTCCTAGACATTGACAGGCCCTGGATAGTCGCCTGTTGGTGGCGGGGTGTGGCCCCTCTCTAGACATTGTCAGGCTCGGGGACGGTGGCCTGTGTCCCCTTTCAGACCCGGGTGGGATCGGGACAGCGGACTGTGTCCTTCCCTAGATTTTAGCCGCGGGCCCTAGTCTGCCGTAATGGGACACCGAGCCGTGCCCCATGATTAGGCAGGCGGGCTGGGAGCGGCGGACTGTGTGTATGTCCCTTTTCAGACACGGGCGAGATCGGGGCGGTGGGTTGTGCCCCTCCTTAGATAGGTGGTTCGGGGCGGCGGCCTCTGTTGCTGACCGTCGCGACCTCTGCCGACAGCGATCGAGGATGACTACGCCGGTCCGTCACTACAGGACGGAAAGGTCACACCCGAGTTCATGGTCGAACTCATGTCCTGGTTCAAAGACCAGAAACTATTGCACACCAAGTATGCCTTCAAGGTATGTTCCGACACCGGTGGAAGGCCTAGGCACGCTGATAGTTTTCCTTATAGTGAACCTAGCCGTTATGACAGATTGTGGTATCTTTGTCGCTATGACATGAGATACGTTGTGTAGCTGGAAGGGTTTCTTACTGCAGTGTTAACTTACGGGGACCACAGTAATGGACAGCCAATGCAGACTTCACGGTTCAGTCTATTCACACTTGATAATGAAGCGTTGTACTTCATTATCGGTGAACTTTGACCGCCCATGCGCTGAGGGGTGGAACCGAAGCTGCTTAGAGATAATGTTCAGACCGACTGACCCGCGGTACCGTATGAAAACAGCCGCCCCCACTGCTCGCCGCAGATCCTGCTGGACATGAAGGAGTACCTGGTGAAGCAGCCCTCGCTGGTGGACGTCTCGATTCCGGCCGAGAGCAAGTTCACCGTGTGCGGCGACGTACACGGACAGTACTACGACTTGTTGAACATCTTCAAACTGAACGGCGTGCCGTCCGAAACAAACCCGTACCTGTTCAATGGGGACTTTGTCGACCGGGGATCGTTCTCCGTCGAGTGCATCCTGACGCTGTTCGGTTTCAAGCTGCTGTACCCCAACCACTTCTTCATGTCCAGAGGTGAGACTGGCTGGAGGGCGTCCATGGCTATTCGGCAGTCGGGATGTACAGAAACGTAGCTCACACATTCATTTAGTGTGTTCGGTTGAGCGAGGTTGTCAGTCTTAGTACATAAGTGTAAGCTGTAACAGTGTGGATATTGCTGCTAGCTTCTGTCCCTGGTTTATTCGCTTTTGGTGGAGCCTTTCATTAGCTTATGAGCTCACGACCTAGGTTATAAATTATCAATCATTATACGGCTGTAATATTTGGTGACAGATAAATATCGGTCCTCTACGTCAGCTCACACTGTCTTTTTTGCCGACCGCGTCGTTGGTTATTAGTATTCAGTGTTTATGTGACGGATTATTGCCATTATCTCGGGGTATACCTACTAGCTGGGTGTCGGATCAGCTGGCACCTTCTGAGTTTTACGTCTTTGTCCTGTATCCCTGCTCTCTGCCTGTGTCTTACGTCCGTTGGTGCGCCTTATCTGTGTTTGTGTTCTTTGTTTGTGTTTTTAGCCTGTAACCTGTGCCCGCACTCCGCGACCTGTGTCCTGTGTCCGTACCCTTTTTCCGCACATTCCTTGTGACCTGGCCAGACCTGACCTATCTCTATTCTTCCGCCAGGTAACCACGAGAGTGAGACCATGAACCAGATGTACGGGTTTGTCGGCGAGGTGAGCGCCAAATACTCGTCCCGGATGGCAGAGCTGTTCACCGAGGTGTACAACTGGCTGCCGCTCTGTCACGTGCTGAACGGACGCGTGTTCGTCACGCACGGCGGACTGTTCTCGCGTGACGGCGTAACGCTGGACGAGCTGCGCGCGGTAGAGCGCGGCCGTCAGCCGCCCGAGGAGGGTCTTATGTGCGAGCTGCTGTGGTCGGACCCGCAGCCGCAGCCCGGCAGAGGTCCGTCCAAACGCGGCGTGGGCTGCCAGTTCGGCCCCGACGTGACGGCCGAGTTCTGCGGGACCAACGGACTCGACTATGTGATCCGGTCACACGAAGTCAAGGCCGAGGGCTATGAGGTGTCACACGGTGGAAAGTGCATCACCGTCTTCTCAGCGCCAAACTACTGGTGAGCGGCGCTGGGGGTCGTACAGGGCTGCTCGACAGGGTGCTGATTCCACATTGATGGAGTAGTGTGGTAAATAGATTCAGTGTAGGTGGAGAATGGTACGCTTTTCAACCCATGTATCGCACCCTTCATTGGTCTTTGGGGTGTTGCTGACAGGTCTTAGCTTGTTCGTTCATTGAATTGCCAAGCTTTGTCTCAAATTTATTTAGTTTATCGCATTGTTTTATAAAAAGAAGATATTCAAATAACTGGCTCGTTCCAAACTCAAGCTAGATCGATTTAATCGGCATCTTGCTCGGAGTTTACGATTGTTTCATAAATATTCCTAAGATCGGAGTTTATTCCTTTTTAAGTCTGGTGACCTCAAACGGCGCTTTTTCTTTCCAGTGACACAATGAACAACAAGGGCGCATTTATCACGTTAACTGGAGGAGATATGACCCCAAAGTACACTACCTACGAGGCTGTGGTAAGCTGCAGACTATTCTCACGAACTTTGTTTGCTTCTTGCTTATACCGTGTAGCTTCTTCAAGCATCCCAGATATCACTTCTGAAGGGATCTGCTTTAATCGAATCGATCGAAAAGCTAAATGGAACCTTCTCGTTTGCGTTCACCTAGTCGTGTTTGCAGAGCGATTCTTTTTGTTTACGACACGTCGTGATGACGTATCAATTGCTGAAAGTCGACAATGAAAGATAAATAATATAGAACAAGTCCCACCTCGCTCCACCCCATCTGAACTTTCCACTGACACCCTCTCCCCCCTTTCAGCCGCATCCGAACGTGAAGCCTATGGCGTACGCCAACTCACTGATGAGCATGTTCGTGTAACGGAGGTCGCCCTAGTCGCTGAGGACGCCGAGCTGGGTCTCGGCTCGGCCGGTGCCGGGCCAGCCGTGCTCGGCACGCGCTCTCCCGGGGCGCGCCGCCCGCGCGGCCGCTCAACCCTCGTTCAAAGTGTGTGACGCGCGCGATCGCCGACGGTTGTCGTATCTGGCCGTCCTGAGCGGCCGACCGGCGGCGCCAGAGTGTGATGACTGCAATGCCGTATCGTGTCTGTATTGTACCGAGGTAGGCGCAGCGCCAGAGGGCGCCGCAATACAATGACCCAGCCCGTACTCCATCTCAGGGTTGTCGAGGATCGGGTGGGAAGGGCTCTTTCGGGCCCTGGGGGATGTGGACAGTACAGTGGACACTGGCACAGTCGGGACAGTGGACACTTGAACAGGCGGGAGACTCGAGAACATTCTGACATCTGGCGGGAGGGACCGGTCCTTCCACTCAATGGCGAGACGTGTCGCGTGATGCAATGTCGAACGCGAGACGTTCATGAATCATGCACACACATTGCTTTCTTCGTCAATTTGATCTCTTTCAACCTCATTGTTTAGGTTTCAACTGTTGCTCAGGCGGTAATATTGAAACGTCAGCATTTGCATTCCTAGCTTGACGCGATCAGTTAGGGCATTTTTCCGGCGACGATCCTATTTGATGCTGCCTTTACGATCGATGATCAGTGATCACTGACCATCAGTAAAAGCCGGACACTTGCGGCAAAAATTGGCGCATCACCATACAATACCTGAATTCTGAGTCGCGATCCATTTGCTACGATTACCTTCACTTCTGTTTCGGCGTTTAGGAGAGGGGGGGGGGGGGGAAGTCATACACTCGCGAATATTTTTACTTGTTTCTGCATTTATGCAGGAAGGGGTGTAAGCCATACTCGCAGGATTTGGCCATGATTCCGTGCACGCCCCGTTATTCTGCCCCTACCCTCGCCCTCCTGTCCCTCCCCGCCTTCACCGGCGCTGATCTCAGCCTCCCTGTGCCGCCGGTGCGCCATTAGACGGGGAATTCCCGGACCCGGCCGGAGCGTCTGAAGTTGAACGCTGCAGTTTGTGGGCCGCAGGGCAGCGGCGGCGGGAGCGCTCTCTGGCCTGGGGGCTATAAACGTTGTTTTCTCATGTTTTCCCTCATGATGCCTCTTGCGTATCGTAGGATAAAATGATAACAGAAGAGTTGGGGAAAGTGGTGTGATGATAGTCATATTTTTTGCTGCCACGTTGCCAGGGGGAGCGGTCAGGTGTGCTTGGGGTGTGCCGATGGTCTCAATCGGACGGGGACGCGGACCTGAGTTCGCCCCTGGACCAGCGCGGTCGGCCCTGGCGCTCCGCCGCCTGTACTCCATGCCAATGCCCCTTCCGTGCCGGGCACCGTCCGGTCCGCCCCGACTGCGGCAGCGCAGTTGGAGAGCGGGTTCAGTGGGGAGTGTCTGCGCTCTCCGCGCGGTGGATAACCCAACATCGGGACCTCAGACACATACGATAGCAAGTTCAGCCAGATAACGCGACAGATAGCGGGAGACCTTCCAAGTTCTAACACCATTCGGCCCGTTGAAGCTCAGTGGCAGGTAGCTCTGCGCCGGCGCGACCAGCCGCGATGGGGTGCTGCTGCGTGTTTTTGTTGTCCGTGTCGCTACTGGCGATGTCCGGCACCCTGCTGGGGGTCGGGGTCAGCCGGCTCGCCGACACCGAGGCGCTGGCCGTGGCGCGGCTGGACGGCGGGCAGTGTATCTGGATCTCCGTGAACTTAGCGACGTATACGTATACAGGGTGTCCCAGAATTACCCGGACATTTATTTTCTGGCTAAAAGTACGATTGCGCTCGATTCTAATGATATACAAGCATCATACTTTTATAAGATATCCCTTAGCTATCGAGCTTGGGGACTGTGTGCTTTTGGTGACCGGTAACGACTCGAGTCAAGTATTATCCAGAGTCAAGTAAGAGTAGTCCTTTTCCGTTTTCAGCTTAAGCCACTAATAGGCAACCATGGTGAATCAACTCCCGTTTTCAACTTTGTAAACGGACTTTCGGCATGGTTTTTGCTGGAGAGCTTCAGCAGCTCATCTGCAAGCAGTTAGGATTGAGCAAAGCGCAATTATATCAGCTAACGAAGCCAGAGAGAGCAAGAGATAAACCTGATTGACAAGCTTGGGCTCGGCCAAAAAGGGCCATGCACCAGTTGTCAAACGGGTGGTTGCTTGTCATGGACAACAAACGTCACTGATCCAGCTAAAAACTAGTTAAACGATAGATCAGGATTATCTAAAGAACATCAGTCTACTTTCCACCACTATCTTCGCAAAATTTTGGAATTTGGGGTCCCTCGCCCGAAAAATATGCGAAAACTACGGGAAAAGCAGCGAAAATCACTACAATTCATCCCAAAAATATAACATATACAACAAAAAATTATGTTGAAGCACACTTTGTGGTCTAACGAAGGTATTCTGTCATTTGAACCGCCCGAAAAAGGCGTGTGTGAACGTCAGATGGCTACAACGCCCCAACAGCAGAGACGGCCAGGCACCCGTCGAAAATCAAATTGTGAGACATTTTGAGCCACCGTGCACTCATTCGGCTTGATATGATGGCCCAACGACAGCCGTTAGCACAGAGTACTACTGCGGTAATATTCTACCAGTAAAAAAACTGGATGCCGTAAACCAAATGGCCATGAACGGGTTTGTTTTGGAAACCAAATCTGTTGGAAGCCAAAGGTCCCGCCATGTTCAGACATGGAGCTTCTCCACTTCAGATGTAAAAAACGCGGCAAAAGTGGTGTAGGCAGCAATTTTTGTTTTGGGGGATAATGCCTTATGACCTGGGAACACTTTGATGTTAAGTTTATCTTATATGATCGTATTATCCTCCGGCAACAGGTCAAAGAAAACAGGCCTTCACCCAGTTTCGGGAGAGCCGTAAAACAACTGAGACCAGCAATGGCTGGCATTTTCAATCATTATCGGCTGATCTTGTAACAAGCATATCTATTGCATGTGCTATTTCACAGCCACCCTAGTTGACTATAGGACGATAAAAAGAAAAAAGCGCAATCATGTTTGCCTTATTTTATACGCTAATTAACAATGTCCGGGTAATTCTGGGACACCCTGTACGTATTCAGCGACGAATTCCAAATCACTTCAGATTCATGGCATGGGTTAAGTTGACCATGCTGAACACGAATATGACATTTATTTTAACTTTTGAGCTGATCGTCATGGTTAAAATCCGGTTTAAATGACAGGGAACCGCATAACGTCGCGAAAATCAAAACCCACGAATTCCAAAGTATATGCAAAATGTAAAGCTCATCTAGATCTAACGTCCGTGGAAGAATCCAAGCTCGTTGCTCAACTCCTTCATGGTTAAAATCCGGTTTAAATGACGGGGAACCGCATAACGTCGCGAAAATAAAAACCCACGAAATCCAAAGTATGTGCAAAATGTAGAGCTCATCCAGATCTAACGTCCGTGGAAGAATCCAAGTTCATGGCTCAACGCCTTCATGGTTAAAATCCGGTTTAAATGACGGGGAACCGCATAACGTCGCGAAAATAAAAACCAACGAATTCCAAAGTATGTGCAAAATGTAGAGCTCATCGAGATCTAACGTCCGTGGAAGAATCCAAGCTCGTGGCTCTTTAACTTCATGGTTAAAATCCGGTTTAAATGACGGGGAACCGAATAACGTCGCGAAAATAAAAACCCACGAATTCCAAAGTATGTGCAAAATGTAGAGTTGATCCAGATCTAACGTCCGTGGAAGAATCCAAGTTCGTGGCTCTTTAACTTCATGGTTAATATCTGGTTTAAATGACGGGGAACCGCATAACGTCGCGAAAATAAAAACCCACGAATTCCAAAGTAAGTGCAAAATGTAGAGCTCATCCAGATCTAACGTCCGTTAAAGAAACCAAGTTCGTGGCTCTTTAACTTCATGGTTAATATCTGGTTTGAATGACGGGGAACCGCATAACGTCGCGAAAATAAAAACCCACGAATTCCAAAGTATATGCAAAATGTAGAGCTCATCCAGATCTAACGTCCGTGGAAGAATCCAAGCTCGTGGCTCAACGCCTTGATGGTTAAAATCCGGTTTAAATGACGGGGAACCGCATAACGTCGCGAAAATAAAAACCCACGAATTCCAAAGCATGTGCAAAATGTAGAGCTCATCCAGATCTAACGTCCGTGGAAGAATCCAAGCTCGTGGCTCTTTAACTTCATGGTTAAAATCTGGTTTAAATGACGGGGAACCGCATAACGTCGCGAAAATAAAAACCCACGAATTCTTAAGAATATGCAAAATGTGGAGCTCATCCAGATCTAACGTCCGTGGAAGAATCCAAGCTCGTTGCTCAACGCCTTCATGGTTAAAATCCGGTTTAAATGACGGGGAACCACATAACGTCGCGAAAATAAAAACCCACGAATTCCAAAGTATGTGCAAAATGTAGAGCTCATCCAGATCTAACGTCCGTGGAAGAATCCAAGTTCATTGCTCAACGCCTTCATGGTTAAAATCCGGTTTAAATGACGGGGAACCGCATAACGTCGCGAAAATAAAAACCCACGAATTCCAAAGTATATGCAAAATGTAAAGCTCATCTAGATCTAACGTCCGTGGAAGAATCCAAGCTCGTTGCTCAACTCCTTCATGGTTAAAATCCGGTTTAAATGACGGGGAACCGCATAACGTCGCGAAAATAAAAACCCACGAATTCCAAAGTATGTGCAAAATGTAGAGCTCATCCAGATCTAACGTCCGTGGAAGAATCCAAGTTCATGGCTCAACGCCTTCATGGTTAAAATCCGGTTTAAATGACGGGGAACCGCATAACGTCGCGAAAATAAAAACCAACGAATTCCAAAGTATGTGCAAAATGTAGAGCTCATCGAGATCTAACGTCCGTGGAAGAATCCAAGCTCGTGGCTCTTTAACTTCATGGTTAAAATCCGGTTTAAATGACGGGGAACCGCATAACGTCGCGAAAATAAAAACCCACGAATTCCAAAGTATGTGCAAAATGTAGAGTTGATCCAGATCTAACGTCCGTGGAAGAATCCAAGTTCGTGGCTCTTTAACTTCATGGTTAATATCTGGTTTAAATGACGGGGAACCGCATAACGTCGCGAAAATAAAAACCCACGAATTCCAAAGTATGTGCAAAATGTAGAGCTCATCCAGATCTAACGTCCGTGGAAGAATCCAAGTTCATTGCTCAACGCCTTCATGGTTAAATTCCGGTTTAAATGACGGGGAACCGCATA